TAATAATAATAATTAAATTAATCATGTTAAAACATAATATTAATAGCAAGATCCTAGGCATGATACTAACAAGATTAATAACAAACCCTAGCATGTCACTAAACATAGAAAGATCAAAGCTTTAGCCCTAACATGATACTAACATGATATTAGGAAAGAAAATAGGAAGCATCACAATAATCATACTTAATATTTGAAATATTAATTAATCCTAAACATGATACTAGGAAGTAATAAAACATCCTAACATGATACTAGGAATAAAAATAATCTAAGCATGATTTCTATATTAAACGAATAACAAAACAATTAAAGTACTTACTTCGATGTCTCGTACCTCTTTCTAATAACAAAATACACACGTTAGTAACTTCAAGGAAAATATTAAATCAAACAATTAAATAATTAAAATAAGGATTTGGGACCAAACCCTCAGAAATATCAAACCTTTCACGTCTAGGGCGAAGGCAACTTTGAACTTGGCTAGGTGTTTCTAGAGCTAATGAGTGAGGAATTTTGAGAGAGGGAAGGTTTAGAAAAAGAAGAGAGAGAGAAAGCTTCTAGATTTTAGAGAGAGAGAATTAGAGAATTCTGGGTGTTGATGATTTAAAAACAGGGAGATACGACCCTTATTTATAGGAAAAATAGCACGGAATCGAAGATAATCATATTCGGAATAAAATACCTCCTGTCGCAAACGACAGAAGTCAGCGCCAAACGACAAGCTCGTCGGCAGGCGACGAAGGTCAGCACCTGGCGACGACTTAGTCGTCTTGCGCTGGTCCAAAAGTTAATGCGCTTTTCCACGCGTAATTACCTTTAACATCGGTTGTAGGTAATTATGCGTCCAAGCAGTTTTCGAAATCAGATTTAATATATTTTATTCTAAATAAACATCTTTATTTATCAATCCTAACTTTATTAGAATTAAAAAAACCTTCTAGATATTCCTAGAAGACTAAAATAAATCCTAATCACTTTAGGAATAATAATTAATAGGCCCTCCTCTAGATCATTGGGCACATTGAAAATCATTGGGCTTAATTTAATTTAATCCATAACTTTCTCATAATTCATCAGAATTGGGCTTATAATATATCATTGGAAAACTCTTTTCGATCTCAATCCAACTTCACTATTATTGGACCCTTATCATGGACTAAACCAAATCGGGCTGGCTACTTTTCATAAATAGGAGTAAGAAAAGAAATATTTTAATAAAACATCCTCATCACTAGACTTTCCATACTTTTACTTTGTTTGATAATCAAACGACGTGAAAGGTATTCATCACTGGGTTTGGTTTTGGGGAGACACAATTGGGTGTCTATAGAAACCCCCACTTTGACTGAGTTTGGAGAAACTTATGTTTTGAAAACTAAAGTCAAAGTAACGATAGAGACGGTAAATGATTCAGAACGTTCTGCGATCTTAAATCTTTTTACAACGCCAACACCTGCAAACTAGCGTTAGTTAAAACAGATAAGAGAGTTTAAGAAACGCGTATCTTGCACTGTAGAACATACATCTCAATAGTAACCGAGTTTTTTTGACGATCTTCCTTAAGCTAGGGGATACCGCCTGAAAACTACTACGCTTGTAACCGCTTCCAATTTCCGCTGTGATAATCTTCCGCAAGCTAGGGAACACTATCAAAGATTGCTTCGCTTGAAACGACCTTCTACCACCTTGTAACATCTTCCGCAAGCTAGGGAACACGATCGAAGATAACTTCTCTTGAAATCACCTCCTGCTTTTGACAACCTTCCACATCCTAGGGAACTCCGTCGAAGATAACTTTGCTTGAAGTCATCTTCTGCTTTCTGACAACTTTCCACATCCTAGGGAACGTCCTCGAAGATAACTCCGCTTGCAGACATCTTAGTTGTTTGTGACAACTCTCCACAAGCTAGGGAACGCCGTCGATGATAACTTCGCTTGCAGCCATCTTCAGTTTTTCTGACAACCTTTTTCATCCTAAGGAACGTCATCGAAGATAAATCCTCTTGAAGCCATCTTCAATTTTGTTGACAACTTTCCACATCCTAGGGAACGCTGTCAAAGATAACTTTGCATGAATTCATTCTCAGTCATTACGATAATATTCCGAAGAAAATTACCGAAGACCAACGCTTGTCGATCCTTAAAGCTCGCGTGAAATTTGCTGCCGTGATATTTGCTGAAATTTCCGCTGTGCCAATACATCGACACTTTTTCTGCTTATGAACCATTATGTTGGTGCCTCTGCTGCTTATGAACCATTTTTTCGGTGCCTTTGCGATGAGCCAATGTTTAGGCACTTTAAGCTAAGTGAGACGGTCTTTTATCAGGTCGATCACTTATTGTTATTGTAATCGAGCCAATTACTTAGGGTCTGTTCTCATACGTTGAAATTCAGTTCAGTTCAGCTCAGTTTAGTTCCGTTCAGTTCAGCTCCTAATTTCCTTCTCTTATAAAATATTCATTTCAGTTCAGTTCAGCTAAGTTCAGTCAATAAGAACAGGCCCTTAATCATGTCAAATTGCTTATAGGGGCTAACTGGCGTACCAAGGAGCTCAAAATTACTGCATAAGGTCCACATAATCATTTATGAGGGCCACGTGTTCTGTCGCCACACCAGCGCACGCTGGAAAGCACTATCGCCGCAATTTTTCTCTTTCGCCAGGCGACGAACTCGTCGACTGGCGCCGGAGTAGGGTTTTTGAAAAAAAAAAACCCTTTCTTCCCCATTTTCCGTGGCTGTTGCCGCTGCTATCCGTTTTCTCTCGAAACTTCAATTTGGTTGTTCTTGCTCGTTTGTCCACCAAATTCGCTCAAATTTGTTGCAAATAAAAGCTTGTCTCGTATATTTTCCGGATCCATGTAAGTTTTTCTTAAACTTAACTCAATTTATGCTGAATTCATATTTGTTCTCGCACGGGTATTCGAAAAAATCAAACTCAATTATGCTTAATTCGCTTTGTTTATCGAATTTTATGCCTTGAAATTGCTGGATTATGTTTATATATCATGTTTAGAGCATTTTGAAACTTATTTTACTCAATTTTGTGATGAAATGAGCGATTTGCCATTGTTGACCCCTTTGAGTTCGTGAGAACAATGTGGCCTGTTCTTTGTGTTTTTGTTAGCCATTTTTATCAAAATTTGTCACAATATTTATAATAATATTGCAAGAAATTATTTGACTGCTAAATTTGCTATTTATGCTCGGATAGAAATTGTACTCTGTTTTAGTACTACGTACTCTATTTTTGCGAACATAGTATCATGCGACTAGGCGAATCTTAGATACTATAGAACCTTAATTTTCTGGTATTTTGCATAATATAGCATGGCTATACAGCGAGGCTCGGGTTCTCGTTCTCATTCAAGGGAGACTCATCGAGCGGACGATCTCGTAGGCACCTCTTCTTCTCTAGGAAGGTTTCTAGAGTGGAATGAGCACACTCTATATTTCGCGCCAGAGTTCCACATTTTAGCGTGCCTTCGTCGAAGGATTCTCAGCGGGAGGGTCCGTAGCCATGGTTCTGGCAACACGACCATCTCTTTGTACAATACTTACTTCCACGACAACGTCGGTCTGCACCTTCTGCGGGAGTCATGTGGCTTGACTCCTTTGCTGCGAGCCACTCAGGTTGTGTACTCTTTCGGACAAAGCCACTATGTAGTCCGTGCTTTGGTGGAGTTATTTTGGGACACCACCAACACCTTTCACTTTCCTTGGGGTGAGATGACGGTTACCCCCAACTGACTTTAGTCTCATTATAGGATTAGAGTTCACTTCAGTCCCGCTTCCTTTTGATAGCGAGATCACGGTCTTTTCTCCAGAGGTGCTGTTGGGCCCTATCACTATTCGGGCTCGTGCTGAGGCTGACCTGACGCAGCTCAGCACTAGATTCATTTGCCGGAGTACGCTTGCGGCGGCATTTCAGGACCCTGCGACCACCCCAAAGCAGCGGGTGCACATTTTTGCTCTCATCTTGTTTTCAGGGACCTTTTCTCCTGAAAGAGGTAGTCGAGTTCTAATCTACTACCTGCCTACTGTTCGCGACCTTGCTTCAGTCGGGTCGTATGATTGGGCCAGCTTAGACTATGCGAACTTCCTAGTCGGACTGCGACTTTCTAGTAATCATAGCTCCTTCGAGGGAGATATCACACTTTCTAGTTTTTGGAGAGTTGTAAAGGTACGCTTTATTCCTTTTAAAGTTAGTTCTAGATCTGCTTTGGCATTTGTTGACATTTCTCTATTTTTATAGATCTGGTTCTACGAGTACTTTCCACCTCTTGCGCCGGCAAGACCTTCACCTCGCGAGCTCCCTGTTGCTGCGAGTTGGAGAGGTTGTCACAGTACGGATGTCACTTCTAGGCACATTCGAGAGTTGATCCTCTCGGTATGTTCTTCATATAGTTGTCTTTTTATACCTTTAGTAGGATTTTATCTTATGAGTATGCATTTTGTAGGAGCTGGCCGTGGGCCAATTTTGACGTTTTGCGCTTGCTGCGCAATACACCGCTCATCGTCGCTATTTCCAGGGAACGTATGATGCTATGGCGTATCTTGGCGAGAGAGTGGCTATTCAGCACTTCTAAGAGGCCTTTGTTGTTCCGGCTCGCCCTCCTCGGCATATATTCGATCACTAGTGGAAAAATTGTTATTCGTAACGGGCTTTACGTTTACGGCCGTTACGGATAAACAATGTTATTCGTAACGGGCAGTGTCCGTTACAAATAAGTAGTAATTTGTAATGGGCAAAACAAGTGCCCGTTACGAATAAGTAATTATTTGTAACGGGTAAAACAAGTGCCCGTTACGAATAAGTAGTTATTAGTAACGGGCAAAACAAGTGCCTGTAACGAATAAGCAGTTATGGGCAAAACAAGTGTCCATTATGAATAACCCCATTATTTGTAACCGGCATTACATCTGCCCGTTATAAATAGGTTTTGATCCAATTAAAAAAAAATGTCCAGCACATGCTGGACAGCTAGCTTTCACATGCTTATATCAAATAATATGATACATTTATATTTACACTTGATATATATTGGTTTTAATTCCAAAAACATAAATTCAAATATAACACATACACTAAATACAATATTATATCTCTAGAACTGCTCATAAACCCATCACAATGTATGATTAAAAATGTTGATAATTAAAAATAATAATAATAAACAGGAAACACCACCAGCAACACTGCAGCAGCACCCAAAAGCATCAGTAGCAACCAAGAACCCAGCAACTAAAGAGCAGTAGAAAAACGGCAGCTAAGAACAACAGCTAAGCGCAGCAGCAACTAATTACGAGCAGCAGGCCAGCAGCAACCAAATCACTTTAGCATCGATCAATGCCCAAATTTTCATATCGCCTGAAAAAATCCAAAGTTTCACTATCTCCAAATCACTTTACCGTAATGTACTTCGTAATTATCTCCTAGAAAATTTAAAAAAATTCTTGACCTAGCTGCAAGAAAATCAGCCAAATTCTGTCATTATAATCAAGGTATAGCAAAATCCCATTTTCAATTACAACCACTATATCGAGAATAATAAAGTATAACAATTATTTTCAACACAGTACAAATATTTAAGAATTTGTCCTGATTAATACATCATAACAACCTGCTTTCAATTGTTTAAAAAAAGTGAAACCCGGTCAACTACATACCATTAGTGCTATCTCCTTAAAAGAAGCTTTGGTATTTCCTAGTTATGGAGTATCTCCTTCCTTGTCCCCCTGACCTGCCAGTTAAGAACCAAGCTTGACATGAATCGTCATAACTAAACATTACACTTTTTGTTAGGCTAAGACGCTAAGTGTCACGGTCCGGGTGTTGAAGGCAAGAGCTCGGTGCATGATCTGGTGCCAAAACACCCGGACTGTGACACTAAGGAATTTCCAAGATTGTTGTGTCCTCGTATAAAGCTTTAAGTCTTAGTAACTAGTGAAGTATCAGACTTGCCATTTTAATTTGGACTTATACTAACATAATATGGAGCCATGGTTCTGGAACAGTGCATGCCATACCTATATATGATTTTACAATGAAATAGCCACAGCTAAACATGATTTGCATGCAATTATTGTTGAGTTCCCAGAAGGTCTAAGTAAGACTTTCAGCTCAGATAATTTAAATTTGTGTTCTATACCTTACTTACACTACTACATTTTTCATCAAATGCAACAGTTAAAAAAGGGCTAACACAACGCCAATGTTATTACCGTTGCAATAGACAAGCCTAATACGACGTCTAATATTAAAATACTTCAAAAGAAGGGCTACTGCAACGGCTACACTAAGCCGTTGCATTAGAGGATCTAATAAAACGGCATAAATGGCTATTGCAACGGCAAAGAGAGAGGGCTAATAATTAAGGTTTTCTGACTGAACCGCCATTTTGTCCCAAAATTTTAATCCTTCCCTCCTAATATTTCAAAATAATTTAAAATCTCTCTAAAATATATAGAAAAAAATAAAGGAAAAAAAAAACAAAAACAAATGTCTATCTTATAAAGTATCCTCAGTCCTCATTATTATTTCAACAACAAAAAAAAAAGGTACTCCTGAGAGAGCCGTGTGCCTATGTCCGCCGACCGCCGCCATTATCCACCATTGTCCACCGCCATAAAACCGCCATTACCTGCAGCAAAATCATCATCCTCTTCCTGTAGTTGCTTATGAATAGGCCCGGCTTTAAGGAGGTTTTTCCTCACACACGTAACAGGGCCCCCAAAAATCAGGGGCCCACAATTTTTAAAAAAAAAATCATTGACTTAAAAAAAAATCTACTTTACCTATTCATCTTCTTCCTTGTAAAAACCTCCATTTTGAAACCAAAACCCAAAAAATCTTCCTATCCAAAATTCAATCTCTTTTGTCTTTTGATTTCCAAAACAAAATTAAATTCACTCAATAATTATCACTCATAAACGCCTATTTTGCCTAATTATCTCCAATTCACTTAATTTTTTCTTTTTTTTTTGGCAAAATTGAAGAACAATTTATACTCTTATCGAAATCAATGACGATTCAATAGAAATTAACGGTCAAAATTTTATTAATTTATACTAATTTCTAGATCAAGCAATACACACAAAATATACTAATTTCTAGATCAAGCAATACACACAATTCAGTTTTCTTTCAATTTTAACTCAATTCAAAAGGTGAAAAAACGTTAATGGAAGCACTCAATATTCTGGCGAACTGTTCTTGTTCGGTGGATCTGGAGTGGGCAGAGGTTGATTACTTGATTAAAGAGCAGGTTGATTACTTGATCTATATATATTTATTATCTTAATTTATGCATAATTTTTTTTATTTCTGAAATATAAATTGTTGTTTTTTTTAATTATGGCTCCTAAAATTAGGAAATATGATTATGGTTGTGAAAAACGTCAAAAAAAAAATGAAGAATTGACTCAATCTAGAAATATGATTCTTGTTGTGAAAAACCAAAAAAAAAAATCATTTTATAATAATAATATTTTAAACCTTTTATAAATAGTCCTTTAAAAATTTAAGGGCCCAATTTTTATAATTAGAACAGGGCCACCAAATTACCGGAGACGGCCCTGCTTATGAAGGTGTTCGCTTTGTCGGGGCTTCTAAAACCCTAGCTTTCTAATGATCCTAATACCTAATTGATTTTTGTCATAGTCCATACCTTTTCTTGGTCGCCACACTGCTCTTCGCCTCTTCAGTAACACTCTCTTCTCTTTCCCTCTCCTCCTGAATTTATATTTTGTATATTAGTACTCTCAAATTTCTCATTTATTTTCACGAATATAATTCGAAACCTTTTCCATGAATTTCTTCATTGTGGTTTGGGATTATTATTGGTTTTTCTAAAAAATGTTGTAATTTGGTTGTATAACTGTTAATTTATTTGGTTTTTGTTAGATTTTTGATGCAAAATATGTGTTAAATTGCAATTTATTTGGTTTTTGTTAGATTATTATCGAATTTTGTTCATGGGTTTTGTTGGCTGGTTGCATTAGGATTTATGATTTAGTTTTGTTTAGTAACTTAATGATTCCCTTTAATTTATTCTTAGTATTAGGTGTATCAAGGTTGTTATTAGTAATTTAAATGCTCTAAAAAATGATTATTTTTGTTGTTTGGGGTTGAATGAAGGGAAATTTTATACCTTTCAGATAATGGGTTGTTCGTTCTTATTCTAAGAATGTACTATTGTCTGCTTAATTGAAGTTTTTTCGAGAACAAATTTTGATAACTAGTTTTGTGCCTCATATGAGTGAAATTTAAAAAGAACTTTTTTGTTTTTGCCTTTTTGTGTTCTTGATGTTATAGAGTATTAGGTAGGATTTAAATGTTAAAATTCATGGTGAAGGATGATTGTCTATATGTGAATGATAAGGCAATCATACACTTGTTCTTTTGATAGAATCTAGTCAAAGGTCAGCAATTAATCACACATGTTTGGAGACAAATTACCTTAATCATTGGGAACAAAGCATCCGCAAAGCTACATTTTGCCATACTATGGATCTAACTTTTAATTCTTTGTCATACAGAATACTCAATGATGGAGTGCCAAGTCTAACTTTAAAAGTTTATCTATGCTTTGTGCTAACTTTAAAGTTTTTCTTTTATGTATATTATTTGTTCTTGCCTTGAATTAGAAGTTTAGTCCTTAATTTATCATTTTTGCAATTCATCACAATGTTTATAGTCCATACCCTCTATCAATTTGATTAATAAGAGTACTATGTTATCTTTCAATGAAGTGCATTAGCTGTTTCTTGCCCTCGTGACAAAGTTCATAGTCTGCATCATCTCAATTTGATCAAACTCATATTGCTTTATAATATGATAAATTCATTAATTGATTCTTAGGAACGAGGGAGCAAGCGGCCAACTTGGAGCTCAATAATTTCCTTTTCGCTTTCGACAGAGATAAGGATGGTGATGGTCCCACCATTGTCCGATCGAAGACGCCTTCACTTTCTTTCTACAAAAATATTAGGATTATGTCTTTGTATAATTGAGTCTACATTATTTATTTATTTCCAGTTTATTCACTACAGATAGATGAGGTAATAAATCAAGGTCAGACAACAAGGTTAGTTTTGGGCTCTCAGAGGGCATTGTTTGGAGATGTTTGAGGATAAGTGAAGGATTTAAGCAAGAAATTTCATGTCATTTGTGGTCTACTTCATGTACAAATACAATTAACCTTCCTACTTTTGTTTTCTTAAAGAAAAATCTCAATTTACTTCAAATATATCTGAAAAAAGAAAAATGAAATAAATCAGGGGTTAATATTGATATGACTGTGCAGGTTCAATCAAAAGAGATACACTCATTCTCTATATGATCGCTACTTGTACTTTGTTCCTTATTATCTATTGGCTTTCAAAATGACAGTAACATTTTTGAAAATAGGAAGAAAAAAAAATACACATTTGCTATTGTCAATTGTCAACTGCAGAATCTTTTGGTTTTTTGTTTCCATAACTTGCTGGTAATATGTAGGTCAATGAACTCTTACAGTTGAAATATATGAGTGTTATTACCCAACCCAACAGGAGATCAAGAAAAGAGTTTTTCTTGCTTTCTTTGTGTATACGATTTTATTATTCTATGAGATTGAGTTTGATTTGATTATTTATAAATATGCAATGCTCAATTGATAGTAAGAAGCAGATTAGCAGCTTGGAGGATATTGTATAATTATTCGAGTGATGAAACGCTCGAAGGAGGAAGATAACAAACCCAAATCACAAGTCAAAGATTGGGTTCACTTGGGGCCCAAGCTCATCTATTATCTCCTCGGAGGAAGGAAATCAGAGTGAGAAACACCACAAGGAAATTGAAGCTAAATTCAAGTTACTTTCTGAGGCTTATGATGTAAGTTTTTGATTGCCTTTTTTCTCTTTCTGTAGTTGGAATTAATTTGTAAAGAGGATGAAGTTTTTTATATTTAAGATTTGCATTTTTGCTGTATAGAGGTTGAAATCAAGGTTGATTTTCTGCTATATATATATTGTTGTGTTATGAGCTTCAATTAAGTCACAAAAGAACCATAAGAAGATTATTTGGATCTAGGACCTCATCTTTATCTTCTGGGTTGTTTTAATCATCTATCTCACTACTCAAACCTACTTCCCTTTTTGCCTTTTGCTGTATTAAATAGGTATATGATATACTGACATGCACTATCTTCCTGTATCAAATGCAGATCGAGCTATTTGCGAATACCCATTTGCTATAGTAGGCCTAAATATTACCTTCATGCTAATCTAGTTGTTAGATCTTGTTACATTTTGATCAGGTCTAAGACTTGCAGGCGAAAGTGCTAGGCTGCTAGTCGTCTCAGATGAAAACATAGGTGGAGAGCCAGCTGGGAGAATTTTGAGCTTAGTTGGAACTTGTAATTATTTTTTCTAAACAATGTAAAAATTATGTTTTGACGAATAAACATGTAGATTTAAGTGATATATGAATTTGTAACTTAATTTTTCTTAGTGTGAAATTGTATACATGTACTCTTAATTTTTAGATTTCAACGAAAATTTCCTTTATTTCGATACATTTATATAGCTTCATGTGTAGTAATAATAACAACAACAGCAGCAGCAGCAGCAACAGCAGCAGCAACAACAGCAACAACAACAATAATAATAAGCCGTGGCATTTTCTTCAAAAAAAAAATAAATAAATAAATCGTAGCATTTTCTTCAAAAAAAAAAAAAATAAATAAATAAACAGTGGCATTAGGGTATATGCATCGTGACATTAGGTATAGGAAACCGTGGCATTAGGTATTAAAGCTAATGCCACGGTAATAATATTGTCGTTGCATTAGGTATTGATCTAACGCAACGGATCATTGATACCGTGGCATTAGGTGTCATATACCATTGCATTAGACCTATTGCAACGCCTGCAGATGCCACGGTACATGGCTGTGGCATTAGGCCTAATGCAACGGAATTTGACGCCTAATACAACAAATTTAGGGGTTGCAATAGATAAAAAATGTAGTAGTGTTAATAAGATATATTTCATTGATAATTAAGAAATCTCTTTTCTTGCAAGCTTAAAAAAAATCTCAAGTATGTAATAAAACCAAATCAATTAAATTGAACATGTAAGAAAATCATGGAGAACAATGCAGAAATGTAGAGTACCAAGAAAATCATCAGTCAGATTTCCTACATCATACTTCCTAGGATATATGCCAGTGTTTGGATGCAAGGACAAGATTTTCGCTTTCATTTTAGCATGATCATAAGATTGATTTGTCGGATTTTGCAAGTTAAAGAGACAGTAATTTACCGGATTCAGAAGGCCTTTGTAAGGCTCATCATCTATCAGCAAAGTGTGTAATTAAGAAAACAGAACCCCTGCTTTTGAAGGAGCTGTTGAGGTCTGCCAAATTTTCTTGAGCTCTTTGAAAAAAAGCGGCTTGTTTTCATACACTGCTAGCTAGTGTAGCTAGATTCAAAAATAAAAAAGGAAAGATATTTTATTACCAGAAAGAGAGGAGCCAGATTCACTTTCTAGCATATCATAGAACAAGTTTCAGCTTCAGCTCATTCGGGATATGAGCTAAGGCACTATAACAAGGTTGCAGAATAAAGAAAGGAACTGAAAAGAATTCAAATTACCAGGGAAAAAAAATATTTTATTGCTTAACATTGTCTTTTCATGTTATGCCCACATTGTAACAAGTTGTTAGTCATTGGATTGGCATTAATGGTTTCTTGAACTGAAGAACATTTTTGTGACAGATAATATGGAATATGACAATTCAAGTGGATAGATGATAAGGAAAGATAGCTTTTAAGAAATTAAAGGGACCAAATGACTCATAAAAACCATCACAAAAAATATAAAGGTACTAGTTACCTAGATTCAATTTACCTGGTAACACCCCTAACAATGCCCCACTTGTTACCCATCATCACGGAATCCTTGAAACCCTGATTAAAACCCTCTTGTGCAACAACATTTTTCCATTCGATAAACCATCACGATATCCAGCCTATCAGATCATTAGAAAGAATTTCACTCAGCTAGGTACAAGTGGTGTAGAGATAATTACAGGGAAACCAGACAAATCAAGATATTAAAAAATTCCACGAAGTTTGCGGATATGAACACAGGTCTCTTCGGCTTAACTGCAACCTACATATTGTAAAATTCAATATCTAATGCAACCTACATATTGTAGGATATGATCCCATTGACACCCCAATCATATAGAACTTGGGTCCTAACTCTAACCGATCGGCAAGTTGCTCAATATCTAATGCTTCACTCTTGAGTGACCTTTCAGGGTTTAGATCACTATCAGCGTAGCCTGCTCTATCATATAGCAGCATATATATATTCTATTCTTCAATTAGCCTCTAAAAACTAAATCATTATAAATCAAGGTAATCCTGCCACAAACAAACAATTTATTGTATCATACATTCAAGATTATTCTGAGTTCTGCCCTATTTATTAGTTTGGCTAGAACTAGAATATGTTGTAACTCTTTTTGGGACCAATGTTGCTCAGCATATTTTGGTACAAAAGAATATGCTTTATCTCAATGACATAAATACACTCATATCCAATAATGTAAACAAGTTGACATATGGAATTCAAATTCAACACACGTAATCACAATACCCGTAATCTATCTCTACTCCTAATCCATGGCAGTGACACACAAACCAGCATTTATCCAGATTACATGAAATATGGGTATTTCTACTCCAAATTATGTACTATATAAAATAAATTCACCCACTTCCTTATTTCTATCAATTTATCTAAAATTACTCTTTTCTGCCTTTTCATACGCCAAGATTGATTAAACTCAAAATCAAAAGGGTTTTTCTACTTCAAATTTACTCAAGAAAATTGTTATACTAAAATTAAAAAAAAAATGCACCTAATTTCTACGTTCAATTATTCATCCCATCACACTCCATTTCAAAAGACAAAACTGATTATAACCCATCAAAATTCAGATCCAAAAATTTAAGATGGGTTTGAGAGGACGAAAATTCGAATAAAAAAGATAATAACAAAATTGAGTATAAAATGAAATATATAACACAATCATAACACCAAACATGCATAATTCCCCAAAATTCGAAAGAACAACTATAGATCTACAAATTAAGAATGAGAAAATCCACACACAAAATAAAAGAACAACATCCAACATGTTTCCGCACACAAAATTCGTCTTCCAGAAGACAAAATACATCAAGATTTGAACTCATTTAAATAGAAATCTACAAGAATTGAGGAATTAAAAAAGAAAAATGAGAAAAGATTAGCACCATGAAAACAATTAGCACCATGAATTCAACAAAGGTCAAAATACTCTAAATTAGCCCAAATATCAAGCATTAGAACAATATCCATATTCCAAAATCACAAGAATTTCATAAAATATTGCAATTTAGAGAAGAGTGAAAGAGGAACATACTTAACAAAGCAGGATTATAGGAATTTTTCTTGATTTAGCATCGGCAAATGCTTCAAGAGAAAGACCAGTGCCTCCCAATCTTTGCATATATTTCTTCATCTTAATCTAACTGTTGTTGTTGTTCATTTTGTTATTGGGAATGAAGCCACCTCTTTCTCCGGAATCGTTGTTCTTAAGATTAGCGTCCTTCATCGTCCGAATTAAGCACAAAATAAGAGAGAAGTAGAAATGCCCAATTTTTTCAGTGAAGATAAATCCTGAAGAGTGAGAAGTAGAAATACCGTCGAGATGAGATTGAGTGAGGAAATGAGACAGAGAGATTGAGAGAGAGAGAGAGAGGATAAAGAGGGGTGAGGGCAAGGTTGACGGCTGGAGAGTGAAACCCTAATAAAAATAAGTAATGGGATATGGGCTCCTCTCCCAACCATTGGACGAACTTATTCGTAATGGGCACAATATGCCTGTTAGTCTGTTACGAATAATAGGAATGTAACTTTGGGGGGTTACCTCCTTGACCCCCATCTCTTTGTTTATTCGGACGGTCACAGTAAATAGGCCCTGATAAAAAATCTCCTCCTGCGTCCGCTTGGGAACAAGCTGCAGGGCTTTTTTCCCAGCTAGGAGGGGCAGTTCCTGGGTCTAGCAGTTAAACCGCTTGTTCCTTTGGAAATCTAGGAAAGAGATTATCTAAAACTTGGACCTCCATTCCTTCCATTTGTTCTCCTTCCGTAGAGTCATCATATAGCGCCTGTGGCTGGTTAGGGTGAACCAGCCGACCCCACTTACGTGTGGAGTCCTTCTCAGATAGTGCATATGAGCAAACGCCTCGAAGCTGGGGTCCACCTTCACCATCTTACAGGCGGCAACGTAGCCCTGTATGTTTATCCAAGAATTGGGGGCTAGTTGCCAGATACCCAGTTGATATCCGTCCAAAATCCTCTCCACAACCGGATAAAGAAAGAAGCGCAGTCTTGCCTGGATGGATGCTTCATAGCATCCGAAGCACTAGTCACCATAAATGGCCATCTCAGGCCAGGTGACCTTGTCCTCAGCATCTGGCACGGACAACAAGAAGCCATGTCCCATGACATGGGCGGAAATAAATTTCCCGAAGTCTTTTGTCATCTTTTCCCGCCTGCCTTTGGCGACGTGCAAATAATAGGGCGCACGTTCCTATCGTCGTGAAGCAGACAACTCTTCCCAGCTGATGCAAAACATCAAGCCTTTCATATCTTTAGTTGCTTATTCTATCTTTATTTGCTTTCTTGTTTTTGCCCCAAGGTTTTAGGATCCACTTGGATTCGTTTTACTTGGTTTGGCTTAGTTTAATTACTTGTTTTAGTCTTATTTTCCTTTAATTAGAATTTGATGTAATTTAGGAAAGTCTAAGATTACTAAAGCTGCTAGGAAAACGTGTGAAGAGCTGTTTGTTTCGGTTTGCTTGGAGTCCAAGCTTACGTAGGAGGGTGTTCTAGGACGGTTTAGGGATATCCTAACCAACTTAGGAAAGTTAATCCTAGTAGATTTTGGTAGATTCTTAGTATATAAATAATTGTAATCTAAAACACATTACATTCGAAATTAATACAGACTTGTGCATTGCTTGCATTATTCTTGCGTGAGTTCTCTTGCGTGCTTGTTTAATAATCGATTTAGGAGGTGAGTTGAGAGTTAAGAACATCAAATTAATTAGTTCCAGGAGGTGGTCTAAATAATTTGATCAGTCAAGTAATTCGTTCCAGGAGGTGGTCGAATTCTTGTCATATCGGTTCGTTTCCTACATTGAATCTTCAAGAAAGTGTTCAAGAACGGATTTTTATTTCAAGATTGTGGTTTTCTACTTGACTAAACAACGGGTTAGGATCCACATCAATTTGGTATCACAGCCAGGTTTTGATCTTGGGACCTGTGGGTTATGGGCCCACCACGCTTCCATATCAATTTGGTATCAGATTACAGGCGTTCTAAGGGAAAAATCGCTCCACTTCTACGCTGCCAGAAAATACAGTTCCTAAAGTTTTATTCTGTTTCTCTTTTGTTTTGAGAATTTTTCTGTTTTTCTTTCATGGAATTAGACCTACTTTGTGTCTACGTTGATACTGGAAAGTTTGAGAATTTTTTGATTGCGTTTGCTATTTTATCTGGAATTATTTTCTCAACTGGTCCGGAATCGCGCAAATCCTGCGCAGTTGAATGTGTTTGATTACTGCGACTTCGTTATTGATCTTTTTCCAGAAATTCCAATTGGAGTGTGCTCTAAAAACACTAAATTTATGATCTGGAAAGTTTGGTTACGTTTCGCACAGTAACGAATTCATAGTGTCTTATTCTTTTGCTACAAGTTTCTGCCTTAGCTTTATTCTGCCAACTTGTGGTGTTTTCTTTGGTTCGTGTGAGTTGCCATCATGGATGAGCAGTTGTATAAACGACTCATGGATGATTTCCAGAAGAGGTTTGATATCATAGACCAAAGAACCGAACGACTACAGGATCAAACTGATTCTAGGTTCGATGCTTTTGCAAAACTTCTTGAAACTAAAGAGAAGAAAAAGAAGAAGGACAGCGACGATGAGTCTTCTAGTGGTGATGAGAGTGATTCTAAACACTCTAAGATTGATGATAGGGGTATCAAGCTCGATGACTTTACTGGCCTTGGAAGTCCAGAAGACTTTCTTGAGTGGGAGAGGCAAGTCGAGAAGATTTCTTACTACAAAAGGTTTGATGATGCAAAAAGGATCAAGCACTAGTAGAAAAAAATTAAAAAGGCACCCCTTTATTGCCACCGGTTCAGTCTAAATCGTTGGCAAAAATGGGTTAAAAAATTGGCGGATTTATGAACCAAGAAAAAAGGCAACGGTTCAATTCAAACCGGTGGCAAAAATATAAAGCCCACCGGTTTGAACCGGTGCCGAGCCTTTAAAAAAAAAAAAAAAAAAAAAAAAAAAAAAAAAACGCTCTCCACTCAAAGTCTCAAACCCTATTTCATTCTCCACCCTTATTTCGCCGCTTCTCACTCTCTCTCTCTCATCCCTTTCTCTTTCATCCCTCTTTCTCTGATTTTTCATTCTCATCTCCTCTTTCTCTTGTTCTATTTCTCTGATCTATGAATCTCTTTCTCTTTCAATCTTTCATCTCCTCTTTCTCTCGTTATCCTTTTCTCTGAATTTTGGGTTTGATTATTTGAGGTTAGTATTAAATGTCTTGTTTTTTTTGGGTTTTATTGTTGTAATATTGTTCGAAATTTGGGTTTTTTTTTTATTTTTATTGGTTTTTTCTGGGGTTAATTGATTTTCGAAATGTTTTGCGTTTAATTGATTTACGAAAATTTTGGGTTTAATTTAATTTAATTTGAATTCGAAATATTTTCTGGTTAATTGATTTTCTGGGCTTTATGTTAATTGATTTTTCTGGGTTTCTTCGAATTTTTTTTGGTTTAATCCACCAAGAACGCATGCATGAGCAAGATAGGGTTTAATCGATTTTTGTTTTTAGTTTAATCGATTTTAATTTGATTTTTTTTTATTTTAATCGAATTTTTAAGTGATTTTTTTTAATCGATTTTAATTTGTTTTTATTTTATTTTATAGGTTTTTAACTGATTTTCGATTTTTCGGTTTGTTTTAATCAATGTTTTAACTTATTTTAATTCTTATTTTTTTTATTTTCTGGGATTTTAAATTTATTTTAATCGGTTTTTTTGTTATTTTAATCGATTTAAATTGGATTTTTTTCTGGGTTTTTAACTGATTTTCGATTTTGTTTTTATTTTAATTTTGTTTTTTTAATTCAATTTTGTTTTTTTCTTGGTTTTTTTTATTTGATTCGATTTTTTATTTTCTGGTTTTTTTTTTATTTTTTTCGCAGCTAATTCAATTCAAATTCGATTTTGTTTTTTTCTGGGTTTTTTTGTTATTCGATTCGATTTTTTCTGATTTTTTTTTCGCAACTAATTCAGTTTAAATTCGATTTTGTTTTTTTCTGGGTTTTTTTGTTATTCGATTCGATTTTTTTTCTGGTTTTTTTTTTTCACAGCTAATTCAGTTTAATCGATTCATGCAGGTATACTATTGCTTTGCAAGCCCAAAATAGTGCACATAATCGAAGAATCAAGAGTATTGATTTAGAGTATTGATTTTGAAGAATTTTTTTTTTTTGATTTAATTTGTAGATTTTTTTGTATTATTATATGTTGTAATTGATCAATTTTATAGATCTAAATTGTAAATTTTTTTTTATTATATACTGTAAATTTTCGATTATATTGAATGATAGTTGATTTATATTTTGTTGTTCTTCTTTATTTTAGATTTTTAGTTAATATAATTTTTTAGTGAATAAAGACAAAAAAAAAAAAAAAAACTTTTTTTGGATTTTTTGGCACCGGTGCCAAAAACTTTGAAATAATTTTTTGTGGGCTTTTATGGAACCGGTTAACCGGTGCCAATTTTGATTTTTGCCATCGGTTTGAACCGGTGGCTTTTTATCCACTAAATGGCACCCCCCACATTGGCACCGGTTCAAACCGGTGGCATTGAGGGGTTTTGAACCGGTGCCAATTTCCTTTTTTCACCTAGTGAAGATTGCTTACATACGCCTCACAAAAAACGCAGGTGCATGGTTTGAATCTCTCAAAGCAAGACGTGCTAGAGCAGGTAAGAAAAAGATCTCAACTTGGACTGATTTAAAATGTAAATTGCGTGCCAAGTATCTACCTGATGATTTTGAGCAAATTCAATACTTGAAATTAACTACTCTAATCCAAGATACTTTGAGTGTGAATGAGTATATTGCAGAATTTGATAGATTAACTTCTATTTGTGATTTGAATGAAAAAGAACCCATGAGCATTGCTCGTTTTGTTAAGGGTCTTCATAGGCCTATTGCTAAAAAGATTGAGCTAATTACGTATAACTCTTTTGATGATGTGTGTCAATTGGCTTTAAAAATTGAGAGCCATTAGAATGAAGACAAGAAGGCAGGTCTGTATGCTTCTAAGGGGTATGGTTCATCGAAATCATGCTACTCTAAAGGGTCTGGTTCTAATGTATACAAAGCTCCAAACGAAGACTTTGATTCCAAGAAAGACACATCAAAAATAGAAGAAAAGACGGTGGTTGAAAAGCATAAAGTGTTTGTTCCACGTGAGGAGTTTGAGAGTAGAAGGAAGTGTTTTAAATGTCAAGGCAAGGGACATGTTGCTAGTGAGTGTCCTTCGAAGAGAGCTATTACTTTGAAACAATACAACAAATGGGAGGAAGAGGAGAAGACCATGATTATATTGCCCGAATCTGAACAAGAGTCCGAGTCTTTTGAAGAAGAGAAGATTGAATTCGAAAATGCCTAGCCGGAAAGTGCTCACAACAACTTAATTCTTCGAAAGCTTTTACATGTGGATCTAGTCAAAGAGGAAGAGCAAAGGGAGAGTTTATTTCACACTC